TTTTTTAAAAGTCGTTTCGGAAATGAAGACCAAACTAGAAGCAACATAAGAGATATTGTCTGAAAGAAAATAGAAGGTAAAAAAGGAAAATTTCAAAAATTAAAATCAAGTGAAAAAAGATAAAAGGGATTTGAGAAAAAGTGACAAATATTGAAGGCAAAGAAAATTGAATATATGGTTAGTTGGAGTCCTGAAGAAGAAAACCAAAGCAAGAGAATAGAGCATGTGTTAAAAATGAGTTCAAGACAACTTTCTTGAAATAAAACATTTGAAACTATATTTGAAAGAGTGCCTGAGAATACCAACTCGGAGAGACTAACACTAAGATATATTCTAGTAAAACAAAAAATTATTCGGGCATGTAGAAAGAACAAACATGGGAGAGAAAATTAGAATGTCTTTAGACTTTTTTTTAAAGCAGTGCTTTGTATGTCAGAAGAAAATGGAGTAACTATTTAGGGTTCTCAAGGAAAGAAGGTACCAAGAGTTTTGTGTCCAGAAAAACCACAGTGTTCTCACTTAGTATCTTATGATTAACTTTAATTCTGACACTGACTACCCAGAGTTAGTGTCAGATTCCACTGGTTTAAGGGCTCAGTCCCACAAGACTGTCCTCACTTGAGACTTGGTCACAAGTAATGAGTCCCCCAGGTCTGCATACTTCCTTCCGTCCAACTTACCTACAGTCAGAGGTTCCCACAAACCCTTCTCCTTCTCTCTGTAATTTGCTAGAACAGCTCACCAAAGGCGGGGAAACATTTATTTACATTTACCTGTTTGTTATCAAGGGTATTATAAAGGGTACAGGTGAGCAGCTCGATGAAGTGGCGTATAGGGTGGCGTCCAGAAGGGTCATGAGTGCGGGAGCCACACGCTGAAAGAGTTGGGGTGCCACTCTTTCAGCGTGTGGCTATGTTCACCAGCGGGGGAACTCTCCACACTCTGTGGTGTGTAGAAGGTTTTAATGGAGGTTTCATCATGCAGGCACGATTGATTAAATCATTGGCTATTGATTATCTCGGTGTCCAGCCCCGGTAGCCTCCCCTGAGGTCACTGCGGAGGCTGGGGCGCGGCGGGACTTTTCGGTCCTGGAATCGTGCCTTCGACTGTCCGCTTTCTAACCCTCTTATCATGCCTTGGTCTTTCCTGTCACTAGCTCCCATCCTGCAGCTATTCCGGGACCCCCAGCCACCAGTCATCTCATTCAAATACAAAAAGACATCACTTTAGATATTCCAAGGGTCTCAGAAGCTCCTGTGTCAGGAACCAGGGACCAAGACCAAAAATTACAACAAAAAGTGTTCCCATCAATCAGGAAATTACAAGGGTTTTAGGATCTCTGCCAAGAACCAGGAACTGGGGACGAAGACCAGATAAACATTTCTTATTATATCACAATATCATGAGTTGAGGCAGAGAGAAAAGGGAGGAAACATTTATTTTAGTATCTTTTCTTGATTTTTTGGTTGGAATACTTCTATAAGCAGAACTTTCTCTGTCAAATGTTCAGTTACGCTAAGGTTCAGTATATAAGGGAAAGGCAGGATAAATGTTTGATTTATTTTCCCCTTTTTTTAATTGGTTTTCAGAATAAATTGATCACCTATGGTGGCCAATTAGGATTTGGGGGTTTAATTGTTTTTAAGTACCATTATGAATTTGTGAATTTAATTCTCTTTGGTGGCTTTCAGTCCATTGCAGTTATTGTTCTCATCGATCCTTAACTCTGGCCAGTAGGTCCCTCTTTGGGTTGAGTCTTGAACCCTTTTGATGGGATCCCTGACATAATTTTTGATACTCTTCAAAATGATTAATCCGAATTCATATTTTAAATATGAATATATTACAACTGGAAAGTGATGGTCTTCTTCAAGCAGTCTTGCATTAATTATCGTGAATGTTGAAATGTGATTCCATGTGAATTTTGTTGGGATTTCTTCCTTCGCAGGTATGGGAGGTATCGCCAGCATGCCACCACTTACAGCGGTTGCTCCAGTGCCAATGGGACCCATTCCAGTTGTTGGAATGTCTCCACCCCTAGTATCTTCTGTTCCTCCAGCAGCAGTGCCTCCCCTGGCTAACGGGGCTCCCCCTGTTATACAACCTCTGCCTGCATTTGCTCATCCTGGTATGTGACCTGATGAATCCATAGACTGAATTTTTATAACTTGTGTTTTATACTCTTTATTCTTGTTAAATCTCCTGTCTTCACTTTCTGATTATATATAAGTGGTATTTTATTCCTGAAGAAGATATCTTCATTTTTTCATTTAATTTCTCATTTTTTTCCAACACATTAAATGGGATGTGGTAGACTAGAGAGAGGGAAAGGAGAATGGAATTACGGAGCTCTGAGTACCACTGGTCAAAGGTGAACTCAGCAGCTAAAACCAAGAGCAAAATTTCCTTTCAAGGGCTTGACAAAAACAGCTGAAGTTTGAATAGTATTTGAACATTTCGTATTTCCATGTTTATCTTTCTTCAGCTGCTGTGAATTGCTAATAAACAAGCTAGTCCCTTCAGAATGGAATGATGTAGGGGGCGGGGAGAACATTGCTTTTTCTGTTTTGTTCTGTTGTTGAGGAGGTGGAGTTAATCAGGCAGACAGGGGAAGGAAGTCTATTAAATGACTAAATACATTCAGGTTGCAATATTATATGCTTGCTTAATTGAAGAAAAGGATTAAAAAGTTCCTGGTTTAGTTAATTTTATTTTGAGACTTTATTCAAAGTTTTTTCCCTTTAATTAAAAGAAAGCATAAACTGTAGATGTAGATAGTCGTAGTCTAACAAATCATTTCAATATGGGAAGTATCTCCTTTAAAAAGTATCTTTCTAAAAATTTTTGGCTATATCTGAGTACAAATTCAGTGGTGACGATAAGTGTGGATTTTCGCATTATATTTGATTTATTATTTCTGTGCATAGTGCCCTGGATTTATTACGTCTGTCAGGATATATCTCTAAGTTATAGCCAAAGAATCTAAGTGTACGTCTTTTATTTTTTAAAGATTTCCTTGTCACATGTAGTTCATCTTTTCCTATGTGACCATGACTGCAGATGTGATGGCAGCCAAGAACGTGTTTGCCGTTGCTTTTCCAGTAATTCTGGTGAATCCACGCACCGCCTCTTATTTTCTCTTGTGGCCAAGGTTGCGAGACAGTAGACAAGAATGAGAGGAATGTGGCTAAGGCTCAGAGTTTTCTTCGCGACACACAGCTTAACCAGCCTGAATGAGAATCAGACACAAACGCTGACCCTCCCGCGCGTCATATGTTATCTGGCCAAGACTGCCAGTGTGTGACTTCTTGGCTCTCACATCTGGAACTAATACCTTAGCTCTTTCAGTGCAGTTAATACGCCATCTGTATATTTAAGCTGTTACTTCTCTAACTATTGACAGATCCTATAAAATATAGTACTAAATGTTTAATGAAAAGTAAAATTTTATGGATGTAAACATTACTACTTAGTAAGGTGATTCACAATTGGAACAAGTAAATGTAGAAATGTTTTTGGCAAGAGGGCAGGAATCAAGGAAGGAAAAATATTTTGAGTCTAGGATGGTAAGGAAAGAGGAGTAATTTCTGCTTTAGACTTGATGACTATGCATTTTAATTTTTGTAAATAGGGAAGAGTTTCTTACCTTTGTAGAATTAAAATTATTCAACGTTTATTTATTTTTACAGCAGCCACTTTGCCAAAGAGTTCTTCTTTTAGTAGGTCTGGTCCAGGGTCACAATTAAACACTAAATTACAGAAGGCACAATCATTTGACGTGGCTAGGTAAGTTTGCTTATTTTTAAATGGGCGGTTTGGTTAAAGCTATTATCTGATTAACTCAGAAATGTGAAAATGAATTAGTGATGTTCTTTATTATCTTTTATTTTGTAGAATGTCAAAAGTTTTCTTAATTCTGGATAATGTTCCTAGGTTTTATCATTTGTCGCAGAGATGACAGAATCAAGGACATGACATTTCCTCTAAAGGCTTTGTTTTTTTAAGAGGATAATAAATAGGTAGTAAATGTTTAAAGCTAATGAAATAGAACTCTAGCTATGAGGAGAAAAACTATTTTGGTGTTAATCATTAAAAGTTTATGTATATGAAGATTAGAGCCACAGTTGGCCTTATTTTAAATTCTATCTCAGATAATCTTATGGAGTCTGCGTGGATTATTAGTAAAACTTTTTTTAAGATCAATTGTTTTGAAATAAGTCATTCATATTAGTGGACAGCTGTTATTAACCAAATATGTGGCTCAATTTTGGCAAAGCTTACATGACCTTATTGCTTAAATTTTGGCCAATCTTGGTTTCATATTAGCTTTCATATTTTTTTTTTATCCTTATTTTTTCCCTTGCATACTGTTGCACAAAGATGAAAAATTAAGTCTTTTTGTAAGCCGTCTCAAAACTTTTGGAAAGAAAAGGGAATGTAAATGAAGGCAATTCTACCTTTTCTTGTTTCACTCTTCAGTGGAAATCTTTCTTAAGTGAATCAAGTAATTTTTCCACTTTAAAGAGAAAAGCGTGTTGGATATAATTTAATAGTTCATTAATTTAAAAAAAATGATTTAAAAAATTAATAAATTGAAAAGCACTGTGCCAGATGCTTTATGTATATTAGCTCACTTAATTCTCACTTCTTCCCCATGAAATGATTCTTATTATCTCCAAGTTATAGATGAGGAAGAAGCTCAGAGACATTAAATGACTTCAAGATAACTTTAACTGTTAAAGTGATAGGGCTAAGAGTTGAAATGAGTTCTTTCTGATTTTAAGGCAAGTGTTCTGAACCATGGAAGTTTGTGCCAAAAACTTCAGTTAATTGTGGTATACAGATTTGTGTTGCACTTAATTAAGATTTTACTTTTAAGATTCAGGAACATTTATTGAGCATCTAGTTGCCAGACACCTTATCAATCTCGTTCAACCCCCATATCCTCCTGTGCAGTAAATACTGTCTCAGAATCATGCGTGAGGAAAGAAGCCCAGAGAGGTCCATTCCTCCTCCATGGTTTACAGCTTACTAAACGGCAGAGCAGAGATTTAAACTCAGATCATCTAACACTAAATTCCAAATTTCTTATTTTTTCTCCAATACCATGCTGGAGTTCTGAATTTTCTCTGACTCTCCATAAGAGATTTTGCAATCTGTCTTACAATTGATTTGTGACATTAGAATGAATAAATAATCAATATCGGCAAACATTAATGCTGTTAAGACAACTGATTTTTTAGGTAGTCATCTTTTCAATAATTTAAATTTCTAGCAAATTTTTGTCATGTGGCATCTAAGTTTTTGGTTACCTATTAATGAATTTTCAGTCCATTTAAATTCTCAGGAACTTGGCAGAAAACTATGACTTGATAAGCCTAATCTGGGACAACTTCTGTGTGTAACACCCTACATTCCTGGGGTGTGGGAGAAAGATAGTTAGCTTCTTGACAAATAAGCAAGAGTTGGAATCAGCAAAATATTTGATAGTTTAAAATGAGAGAGTTGTTGCAGAAGTATGCACAGCAGAATAGATCTTGGTAAGTGTTTTTAATTAAGAAATTTATCAATATTGAAAAGATATTTAAATATTTTTCAATTGATTGGGAGCCATTTCTTATGTTTACAAAGTACATGTAAGTATAAATACATAGATAACATTATAAAAACAATGACTAAGAGGTTTAATTTATGGTTAAAATTTTGCTTTTACATGTAATTAATAGATATTTCGGTTGAAATGAAGTGAATGGCACGTGGGGCATTAGTTATAATCTGTCCTAGACGTGGAAAGCCATTTCTGCTGTCAGTTTAGCCATTGCGTTTAATTGTCCTATTAAGACAGTTGCCTTAACAGCCATGGGTACCAGTGTGATGCTTGTGTGGGAGCTGCTCTGAGGAACTAATCACGAGAGGGTCTAGACCCAAGCTGCCTTCTGGCAGACGCTTCCTCAGGCCGGGGTTGCTGCATGTGGGCAAGGAAAGGTCGGCGCTGGGTGTGAGTTAAAAAGCAGAGCTCCCTCCATCGCCGCTCGCCAACTCGCCCTGACCCTGGGAATGTTCTCTTCTTTCTGGGAAGCTCACCATTTGTGGGAATTTGCGCTTCCCAGAATGACTTAATTTCCTTTCTTTAAGAAATACATCCTGTATTTTGGTGTATAGAGAGCTAAACATTTTAAAGAATTAATATTTTTAAAAGCAGTTAATATTTGTCTGCTGTAAGCATTGTTTTTTAAACCCAAAGAGAACTGTTCCAACGGTCTAGAAAAGCTTCTAGACATTATTGTATCATCTCAGTTCCAACCAAATGTTCTGTACTTTTATAGAACTTTTAAATTATTAAGTCGTTTATATAACTTGAAGTGGCCACTTGATCTGTTGTGTTCACCCTGGGTTCTGGAAAGATAATGAACTTTCTTGTGTCTGTTTTGAAAGAAGTGTTGATAACTTTAAAAAACCGACATATTTACTATAGAAAACTCAGAAATTGTGATTCGAAAGTGAATAAAAGGTTGAAGCTAGTTTTCTAGAGAAGTTCTCAGTTTATTGTTTTTGAAGAACTTAAGTCGGCTGTTCATTACTGTTAACCTTTTTTCCTCTCCTTCCTCCTTTTCTCCAGTGTCCCTCCAGCAGCAGAATGGGCTGTTCCTCAGTCGTCCAGACTGAAATACCGACAGTTATTCAACAGTCATGACAAAACTATGAGTGGACACTTAACAGGTATTTGCAAATAAAAATTAGTTTAGTGAGGTATGATCTTTGTTCTAAATGCCAATTGTTTCTAGATGTCGGGCCAGAGATATTTTCCAAACGTCTCTCTCTCTCTCTGCTTTTTCTGAACAGGGCTTTCATTGTGGTTCTTATCGTGGATTCTCATCTACTGATAAAGCCATAGTTACTTTATTCTTTAGTGCCTCAGGCTTTTGCCCCATTGCTCCTTGGTAAATGGAACAGAGACCAAGTAGCCTCCTGCACACTGAATGCCAGTCGTATGCAAAGCAAAGCACTAGCAAAGAAATGCTGCCGTGAACAAAAAGTGGTTCAAGTTCTAAAGTCCAACTTTGTAGATGAACTTGAAACCGCCTACGCAGAGTCAGTGTTTAAGGCAGGATGTAGGGTGAAAGGTGACTGGCTGGGGACTTTGGAAACCTGGCTGTGCCATGAACATGGGATGAGGTCACTTACTTTGCCTATTTGGATCTTATTCATTAAGAGGCCAGAGTTAAGTTATATGATCTCAGTGGATTAAAAAAAACATTCTGTCATCTACATCAGAAGGCTAAAAAAAGATTTTAGGATACTATCTAGAAATTTTTCAAATAAGGGATTGAAGACTTAAAATTGACTAAAGAGTAATAAAGAAAATTTTAATAAAAAAATAGAGACCTCTGTTATGAACATTAAGTGTAAAAGGGAAAAATGTAACTGCCTTTTAACAAGTATGTCGTGAAGAGAGAAAGAGTTAATTGATTTGGGGTAAGGAAGCGCTGGTTTATAACACAAAACACTTTCTGATTCTTACTATCTTTTTTTTTTCACTTGGAGTTATAATTTTTACTTCCAAAAGAAAAATTTATTTTTTAAAAATGTCAGGATTAGGTGAGACTTTAAAGGGTTCTCATCCAATTTTGAACCCTATCCCCATAAAAGCTCTCAGCAGTTATAAGCATATGGTTGTTAACTCAAGTGGTGAGTTTCTTTTTTTATGGTGACATTAGTTAACAAAATCCAATAAGTTTCAAGTGTACAATTCAACAGTAAGTCACACACATATTGCATTGTGTGTTCACTGCCCATAGTTAGGTTTCTTTCTGTCTTCAGGGGTGAATTTTAAGTAAAAACAAATTTTCTGTGTGACACTCTTACTCTCTGCTATAGTGGTAGCTGTCGTATTTATACATAGTATGAAAAACCAGTCCAGCTTATATAGACACCGAAGGAATATTCAATAATATAGTTTTAAGTGCTGTTTAACGTGGTTTGTTTGACACCAGTGCTCCATACAGACCTAGAACTGCATTGCCGGTGAGTCTGAAAACATTTCTTCAGAGCGTTGTTGGTGTTTGCTGTGCGTTAATTAAAATAGTATTCAGATCGCAACACTGATGTGGAAATTCTGTCTTGGTAGGATGTGTATTTTATGACTGAAGTGCAGCATCTTCAACCCAAAGATAATGACCCAGGCACTTGACTATTTAAAACATGTAATATCTGAGGCAGAAAGTAAAATTTGTAATATACAGGAAAGAGCAGATTTTGTTAATGTTTATCTGTGTGCTTATTACTGTTTTGTCCTGGCAAGAATTTAAGGTGGGCATTTTATTTTCAAACCAGATTTTTATATGGTCATGACAAATAGAATAGTTTATTACAGTAACTTTAAAAATAGGAATAAATTTAAGAAATTCAGTTTGTTTTCCCTTTGTGAGGACTCATTATAAGGATATGTATTAGCCTAAATAAGAAGGTGGCAGCAGAGCTGGTTTATTGAGATGGATGAAATACAGAGACCATTGTCATGATCACAACTCTGAAAGTAATTATATGAATCCTAAACCCCCAAAGCACTTAGTTCAGCTTGAGGATAAGAGGAATAGTTGAGAAAAGGTCTTAGAATGTAAAGAGGCCCAAGTGAAATATATAATTTAACATTCTTAATCTCTTGTTTTTCATCCTTCATGATACTGTTTTTTGTGGGTTCTTGTTTTAAAGGAACTAACTAAAAAGCATTTTTACAACTTGCACACAATTGTAATATCTTAATCCGATGCAATAGTTTTCAACCTTGGTCTTGTAACATCCTAGTCTTATAAATACCAGTTTAGTGTAGGAGTACTAATGCTTTAATATCATTTAGAGGAGAATCTTGGTCATCTTATACTTGTCACTTGCACTCACTTGCATTCACGTGTGTTTTGGAGTGGAGTGGAATTAGTAACACTCCAAGAATTGCATCTAACCTGCAACCTAGCTGATCCGTGCTATAGCCCATGGCAAATGACCACTGTCTGTTGGTGGTCAGAGGAATTTCTGATCACCCTTGTGTTTTACTCCACATCCTTCCTTTGGATGCCATCAAATCATGGTTATATCTGTAAGAGTATGTTGTGGGCATAAGAACGCTATTGATTGGTCCCAAGTGAAGAAAGTGAGAACCTTTGAGCTTGTGGAATGAGCTTATTCACTGTAGAACGTGACGCTGATCTAGCAGTGGCACAGTTTAACTGATTGATTACCTACCTGGGTTGATTTAGCTGATACACCTGGTTAGGCACCCCTTGTTCCTTCACGACTTGATGTATATGCTATTGCACACTCTTAAAAGAGACAGTCTTATAAAACAGTAAGCCCATTCTTTAATCAAGGTTATATAAGTACCAATAAAATTCTGGCAATTCTTTTAATGCTAGTCCTCTTCTCAAAGAGGTCTTTCATTATCTTCTTGCATTCTGAACCAATGAATATGCTATTTGATTATTCATTTATTAATCACACAAGTTAAAGTCTTAGTCATTGTTTGAAATAAAGCATTAACTATTTAATTCTCTTTGTCCTTTCCATTCATGCTTCCTTATCCAAACATGAATGCCAAGAATAGGGTTTATGAATTTGAGATTTCTATTTATCCCCTAATGTTTCCTTATAAACCAGTACTCCAAAACTGGTATCTTTTTGTGAATGTAGGCTTCCACAGGATAATTCCGTGCACTCAGAGCTGAGATTTTGTTGTCTTGCTATGCTAAGAGGCTACTTTAGTTGTTGCTGATCTATTTTAATGTTTCACAACCTTGTCTTGGGACATACAAAGTATTAGAATTGCAAAAGATAATTATGATCTTCTAGTGCAGGGGTCAAGAAACTTTTTCTGTAAAGAGCAAAACAGTAAATATTTTAGGCTTGCAGCCGTCCACTGTCACAACTCAACTTTGCCAGCATAGTACAAAAGCTGCCATATATCGAGCTTAAATGAATGGACATAGGTATATTTCAATAAAACTTTAGGTACAAAAACAGGTGGTGGCCTGGATATGGCCTGCGGGCTGTGGTTTGCCAATCCCTGTCCTAGATCATTTCCTTCATTTCAGAGATGAAGACACTTTCCTCTTACTGAAAGTGGTTTTGTTAATGTCTCATTAGAGAATGGGATGAGTCAAGACTGGAATCCATATCTTGTGATATCCAGGTCCAGGGCTAGTTCTTTTCATTTGTTATATTTTTTATTGGGAGTAGATGAAATATAGTTCTGAAGTGGGGAGAATTATTGCAAGTATAAATTAAAGCTGATTCAACTTTAATGTTGCCAATTCTAAATACAATGTTAGAGACTAAAGATGATCAGTGAACTTTTCTCATTCCACTATATCATAGAACCTTTAGGACTTGCACATTAATTCTGTAAAGATGATTATTCTCAGATGCTCCCTGCGCGCACATGCACGCACGCACACACACGCAACAGGAATATGCATATGTTCACTAAAACTGAGAATGTGCATGATTTATAATAGCCCCAAACTGTGGTATACACAGCAGTTAGTCTCTAGGATTATGTTCTACAATCACATGCAATTAAATGTCGAGCAAAATAAGCCAGACTCAGCACTGATACACTATGCCATTAGAAGTTAGGCTGCACTTAGTGGGAGAGCATCATGGAAGGGAGTTCAAGAGGGCCTTTGGAGGTGCCGTTTTGTGATCCGGGTACTACTGACCACTTCCAGTTTGGAAATTACATACATGTACACCTTTAAAAATACACAGGTATATATTCATGTGTGCTTTCTGCCTGTATTTTATATATAAATAAAAGTTAAAATATTGCCAGTAATATTGACTATCATTTATTGAGCACTTTATCTGTGCTAACACTGTGCAGAAAACTAGGGTCCAGCAAGTGAAGAAACTGCCTGCCCCACACTCAGCATGTTCTAGAATGAACCAGGACCAGAGTCCACAGGCTCCTGGTTCATCAGTGCTTTTTCTGCTGTTCTCTGGAGTTTCTTGTGCTGGAACCTTACGGTGATGCTCGGAGATCCCTAACCACTGCTGCTTGCTGTGTAAAAACACATCTACGTTTGCATTTTTTGATGAGGGTGCCATTTGAAAAATGAAATAGCTAAAGACAAAAGTTTGTACACGGGCATCTTCCCAATATAATTGCTACAGCTTTCCACTCCTTGGTCCATCAGTCATCCTACGACCCTACACTTCAAGAAGCAGCGCTTGAAATAGGACATATTTGTCTCTGTCTCCCTGGTACCGGCTCGTTTAAAACTCAAAACCTCCCATTGTAGCCTTTGTCTGATATCTAAGGCTAAGTTCATTCCAGAAATGAAGATATTTATAAGTATTTTAAGAAATGAGAGCCGATTTTGAAAGAGTTGAAATTCCAAGAATTCTTTTTAATCACTAACCTAGGAAATTCTAATCCTAGCCACGATATTAGCCATTTGTGCAGCCTTGAGCAAGTCATTAATGAAGTAGTTAGAATTCTCTCTAAGGCCCCTTCCTCCTGCTAAATTCTTCCGAGTTCTCCCTGAATTTGTCTGATATCAGTCATGGTGGAGACAGAAGATGTTGAATTTAGAGACACTAAGTTCCATCTTTGTAAATAAAAGCCTAATACTAATAGAGATGGTTATGTGGCCAAAAGGGAAGGTTATATTTTGAAACTCTAATCTTGTACATACGCATACTTTGCTAATCATCCATGTAACAAACATTTATTGAGTATATGCCAAGTGCCATGCTGTGCTTTGTGTTTCTTCATTGGGGCTTAATTTCCTTTTTAGAAAGCCTCTTGGGTAATAGCAAATATTGTTTAAAGCACTGTGATTGCATGAGATTGCATAGTACATATGTGCAGAACACTGATTCCCGGATAGTGACAATTTGCTGATTCATCTTTTTACTTTTTTTCCTGGTTTCTGTTTAGGTCCTCAAGCAAGAACTATTCTTATGCAATCCAGTTTACCACAGGCTCAGCTGGCTTCAATATGGTACGGAAAAATTCCTTGGTTTGTATAAAATGTAAATTCTTTTTTAAATTGGTAGGGCCTCATCAGTCTTTAATACCATTATTTATAGGGAGGATATATGGGTATCCTTAATATTTCAAGACTTGTAATGATTATCTGTTTTACTTTTTCCCTTTTTGATTTTGAAAAATGCAAAAGCAGAGAGATTAGTGTAATGAATTCTCAAGAACTTATAACACAGCTCAAATAAGTCTCAACTCATGGCGAGTCGTGGTTCTCCCCTTTCTTCCCGATTGTTTTAAGCCAAATCTCAGTCGGTATATATTTTCATCTGCTATTATTTCAGCTCGTATCTCCAAAAAGGGTAGGGATTTTTTCCCAACATGATTATAATGCTAGTAGTTCACCTAAAATTTCTAATAAGAATTCTTATTAAGTTAATCAGTGTTCAAATTCCTTAGATTGCCTCGTAATGTTTTTGTGGTTGATTTCTCCAAATCAGGACTGAAATAAATCTGTATTTTGCAATAAATTTGTTGATACATCTTTTAAGTTTCCTTTAACCTATTAACTCCCCCTTGTCTGTTCTCAACTCCTCTCCTCCACCCCAGCCCTCCAAAAAACCTGAGACTGTTTTATAGTTTCTTATAGTCAAGCTTTTGATGATTGCATTCTTGTGGTGTTAATTTATTCCCATATTTCCTTTCGATCACTAATTAGATATAGAGTAAGATTTCTGTACCTCAGCACAATTGACATTTTGGGCTCGATGATTCTTCATTGTGGAGAGCCGTCCAGCGCATCGAAGGTCGTTTAGTAGCATCTCTGGCCTCTACCTACTAGATGCCGTAGCGTGACCCCCATCCCCAGTTATGACAATTAAAAATGACTCCAGAAATTGACAAATGTCCCCTCCTGCCTTTTTTCGCAAGATAATCAGAGATTATACTGTGTACTTCCATCAGGAGGCACATTGTCTCTTTGTCTGATTTGTAATGATTTTTAATAGCTGTTGGTGAGCATCGTCTAGATCATACAAGATCCCTTACATTTAAATGTTAACCAGAATGGCTTCTTCAGAAGTGTTTATCTCTCAGTTATGCATTATCCATTGATTCTGTCTGGGAACTAAACCTGGTCTCTATTGCTTACGATCTAAGTTCATGATTTTGCCGCAGGGCACATTGATACAGTTCCTTCATAAGTGGTCAGTCTCTAGTGCTGCTACCTTTGCCCATCTGGTTCCGTCTGCTTTAGATTCAAGGGTCTGCCTTTTGCAGTAGTGTAATAATAGACCAGTTAATAAACATCTTAGGTCTACGGCATATGCAGACCTATTCTGGTCCGGGTATGTACCAGTATCTTAGGGCCCTCTGAAATATAAACTTAAGATCTAACATTTATGGAGGTTGATTGGCAGTTTATTATGTTGATCTCCTGACACTGGAATATATTGGAATGTTTAAATATCTCATTTATAACCTGCCTTCTTTGAAAAAAAAAAATACTTGAGACTTCTCCTACTAGAATGTTATAATATTCTCCTTCTGCACAGTTAAAAGATATTTTAATTAAATGTTTACAGCGATTATTTAGCCAAGTATGGGAGAAAAAGCGAGAATTCTACTGCCTTCTAATTGGATTTACCTGGGAGTGGCTAGTGGTGGGACATGGGAAGGAGGAAAGGACAAGTAAGGCAGGGAGGGTTTTCGTTTGTGCCTCTGTTTTGTTTAAAAATGGGAACCTGGCATCTGGTAAAGGCAAAGCTGGAGGGACACAAAGGAGATCAGCGCTAACCAGGGGCTGGGGGCAAAGAAAGGGTCGACTATCCAGAGACACAGGGGACTTTGAGGTGGTGATGAAACTGCCTTAGATATTGTGGCAGTTACACAACTGAATGTGTTTGTCAAAACTCACAGACATGTGCTTACAAAAGGGTGACTGTTACTATGTGGAAATTATACTTACACAGACAAACCAAAAAACGTTTATGCCACTTGAGGAAATTTCAGATTGAAGAGGAGTTTCTTGATTTATGGCATCAGCAAAGCCAGTTTTCCATGTAGCATCTGTCTTGTTAGCATTCTAGTAAATAGCTTTGTTGTCCTGCATCCGCTCTTGGTATCCAGAAGTTAAGTAAAATCACATTCTTGGATGTGATGGAAAAATCTGTTTAATTAGCTACAAGGGCAAGTTGATTAAGAAGAATGGTGGCAATTTAATCCTGAGATGAAGGAGCAGAGAACTCCTTGGCTCTGTGGCTGAAGGCCATAAAGATCCACCCGCATGGGCCTAGATCAAGGGTTGGCCAACGGAGCCAAAGCTGGCTTGCTACTGTTACTGAACTGTTATTGTAAAAACAACCACACCCATTCATTTCTATATGGTCTATGGCTGCTTTCTAGCTGCAGCGGCAGAATTCAGTGTGATAGATTTTGTAGGTCCTGCAAAGCTCAAATGTTTACTATCTGACCCGATAGTTTGCTGAGCATAGAATATGATCCATTTTAAATGGGCTTGCAAAGATTGAGAAGAGTATAGTTATAGTGATCGTCAACATTTGTTGAATGCTGACCACCATCCTAACTATGTGGATTGTCTCATTTTATCTTTGCAACAGTAGTATGAAATAGGTACTGTTTTTATAAACTGAAGCATAGACTCAGTGGGCCTAGAGTCAGATTAAGAAAAGAGAACATTTAAATTACTGATGCATAAATGGTAGCAAGCATTCATTTTCACGAAATTAGATGACAATGAACTTTTTGTTGAATAGGAATCTTTCTGACATTGATCAAGATGGAAAACTCACAGCAGAAGAATTTATCCTGGCTATGCACCTAATTGATGTAGCTATGTCTGGCCAGCCACTGCCTCCTGTCCTGCCTCCAGAATACATTCCACCTTCCTTTAGGTAAGGAACATTCAGCTTGTACAAGAAATTGTAAGTGAATTTCAAACTTGGCTTTGTTGGCTATGTATCTCATAGTCGTTTTTATTCCTGGCAAGTAAATGAAATAATCCAGAATTCAAGAAAATCTTATCTAGGTTCTGTGTTAATTTTGGGTCTGTTCTGTTCTTTAAAGTACTTAGAGTATACAGGCAGATCTCAGAGATGTTGTGGATTCGGTTCCAGACCATCACAATAAAGCGGGTGTCGCGATAAAGTGAGTTGCCATCTTTTGCTGGGGGAGGGTCTTGCTTCCCATTTGTAACGATGCAACATCTGTGAAGCTCAATAAAGCAAAGCGCAATAAAACAAGTTATGCCCGTGATGGTAAAACAGTTAAGTGAAACATCGAAAGGTTAGTGATTTTTATACCAATCTGCATAATTGAAGCTCACCAGAAGTTTTAGCAAAGTGAAACTGTATCAACCTATACGAAGAAAATAAAAGAAGGAGATTCTGTCTGTGAATTCTACATGTTCGAGAGATAACAAAATGTTGGTAATGCAGAAATTATAGTCAGGAAGGTAATTAAAGAAAATTATCCTGGTCCGAGGCACGGTCTCAGTGGAGGTGTCGAGAGCGTAGACCAAGGTCCCACTGGAAGGACTCAGGAGTGCCTGGTACCCCGCACCTGCACACCCACGCACACACCCCTCCCAGACAACTACGTCTTAAGGCTTCAACTTAAAAGACAACTATGAGATCTTACCAGCACTAAGAAGAGCGGAAGAAACAAAAATAAGAATTACTGTTCTAATTCCTCAAATGTCAGGGAAGACTGTAGAAAAAAAAATCTCCATAAAAGTAAGAATTGGAGCCATTATATCAGCACATACGTGGAACAGAAGCAGGTGGAAGAAACTGACTGAGGAAGAAGCCAGAAGCTGGGCAGTTTGTAAAGTCCCACAGCTGTAAGAATCAGGATGAGAGACTCAACACCGGAAGCTGATAAAAAAAAATCAATTTAAAAAAGATAGGTAGATCAGTTTAAAAGAGCTGGGTAATAGTTTAAAGCAAAACTAATCAGTAAACTAAGTGATTTGCCCTAAGGGCTATTAAGTGTAGTCATTTCATGCATTTATTAAGAGAGAAAATGGAGAGACTTTGTAAAGGGAAGAGAGCTACTCCCACTTAGCTGAGCTGCTCATCCTCCCTTGGAGGAATTTAACGTTTCATGAAAGGATAATGGGAACAGCAGAAAATACTTGACTAGCCACTTTATGATTACTCCCTAATACATGCCACCTTCCTTTAGGTAAGGGACATTTGGCTCGTACAAGAAATTTTATGTGAATTACCGTAATTTTGGTGGTGGTTCTAAATGTTGGAGCATGCTTAATTAGCAATCAGGATCTGATGACGTTCAACTATGCATTTTTTAAAAACTCTTTGTAAATAGTGAGGATCAAATCTTTATCTTTTTTTTTTCTCGCTGTACCATGATATATGGCATAATCTTTAGAAATTCTTTTTCGTAAAATTGTTTGCTCAGTTACCTGGAAAGCTTTACGTGACTTTGTTTCTTTTTTCTTCTTTTCCACAATTGCAGAAGAGTTCGATCTGGCAGTGGCGTATCTGTCATAAGCTCAACCTCGGTAGATCAGAGGTTACCAGAGGAACCAGCTTTAGAAGATGAACAACAACAACTAGAAAAGAAATTGCCTGGTAAAGCAGTCTTTATATTTGTGTTATATCATAGTAGAGATTTTCTATTTCTGAGACAGAGATGGAGGAAAAATAAATTTAGCTTTTGACATTCTTACTATGTTCCTCTAACTGGCCTTAGTCAGAAAGGAGACACTTTTAATATGCTTTTGGATTTGCATATATGCATAGAAATAAGGACATTATATACTCTGCTAATGCACCTTTGTTTTAGCTTTTAAATTGATATCTGATTATTTACTACTAAACAAAAATCTTATAAATGTTATCTATAAAGCACTCAACCCTTTAAGGTGGTTGGTGAATACCACCAGTGCAGAAATAGAACGTCAAATTGCTACTATTATTTTCTTATGTTACAGGAGAATTGGAAACAATTACAGGAAGTGATTTTAAATTTAATATGAACCTATTGTAAATAATCATCCTTTACAATGATAAATCTATGATACTATTAAAATATTCTAAGGAGACTATGAATTATTAATGATGAGATGATAGGTGATACTAAGAAGCAAGTGAAATTTATTATGGAGTCTCTTTATGTTAAATACTTTGTCAGTGTCATTTTGTTGCATTAAAATGCTTGGTGGTTAATTGACCTGCTCAGAACATTAGTTCTCCCAGTTTCCTCTTTAAACTAAATTACTTTTTTTAATTCACTGACAAACTACTTATCGAAAATGCTCTTTGTGCAAGTATGTTGAGTACAATGAAGAATCTAAATATTAATAATACATGGCCATACCCTCTAGAAGGTCATAATACAATTGAGGATTTAAGATGTCCATATAACCAGTCATCAGAGCAGTGCATAATAAATGTGATAAATTTCTGAAAATAATATTACAGATGCACAGCAGAGCTTACTTATGGCTGGTTGGCAGAGACTGGGAGAGACAAGAAATTATTTCTCTGCGGAAGAGGTCACAGTTGAGTTGAGACTTGAAGATGAATAGGGTCATAACCAGTGGGATGGAGGAATTGTTCATGTTGATAATAATGAGAATAAAGACTCAGAGGCAAATAAAGACAGGACTCCTTAGAATTTGGAATTTTCTTTTTCTTTTGGTGGTAGACATTCATTTAAAGTTTTGAACAGGCGGTGACATTAGAGCTTTTTGTTCATGCGTTTATTCTTTTAGCAGCCATTTATTATGTGCCTCCTATGTATCAGAAATAAGGTCAGATATTGGAATTTAAAGCATGCATAGGGACTTTCATTTTCTTTTTAATCAAGGTAAAATTCACATAACATATAGTCGATCATTTTAAAGTGTGCAGTTCAGTGGCTGTCTTAGTCAGCTTGGACTGTCATAATAAAATACCATAGTCTGGGTGGCTTACACAGCAGAAATTTCTCACAGTTCTGGAGGCAGGAAGTCTAAGAGCAGGGCGTCATCCAGTTCAGTTCCTGGTGGGGGCTCTGCTCTTGGCTTGCTGTTGGCTGCCTTCTTGCTACATCCTCACTTGGGGACAGAGAAAGCCTTCTCTTCCTCTTCTTATAAGGCCACTAATCTCATCATGAGGGCCCCACCCTGATGACCTTATTTTAAACCTGATTGCTAAAGCTCCATCTCCAAATATCATCACATTGGGGGTGAGAGCTTTAACATATGAATTTGGGGGGCCACATTTAGTCCATAACAGTGGCATTCAGTGCATTCACAGTACTGTGCGACCACCACCTCTATCTAGTTTTAAAACACTTTTATCACCGCAAAAGAAAACTCTGTACCCAGTCACTCCCCAGTCCCCCTTCTCCTCAGTCCCTGGTAACGACCCGTCTGCTTTCTGTCCCTTCGAATTTACCTATTCTAGATTTTTCATATAAATGATATTACACAATGGATGGCCTTTCATGCATGGCTTCTTTCACTGGGCATAATATTTTTGAGAGTCATCCACATTGTAGCATGTGTACCTCATTCCTTTCTGAGGCTGAGGGGACTTTCAGTTTTAAGGTGGCCTAGTGAACGGGCTGCTGCCTGCTCTGAAATTACTAAAGGAGCAAGAAGAAAAAACTGAAACACATTTGCCATCTTTGATCTTGAATCCCTAACTGCAGTGTGTGAGGAAAGTCTGTCTAAGGCAGTGAAGGCCGAACAGGAATGTGGGAATAAGCCAAGAAAAGGCACTCACAGCTGCAGATCTCAAGACAGTGTGAAGTGACAGTTCTTGAAATAGATTGGGAACAATAGGGATGCATGCTACGCGGGCTGGCAGTGAGAGCTCCCCTCGTCTGGAGTTGGTTCCAAGGAGAAGCATGTGAGGCAAACACAAAACTGAATAATGGACACTGCTGAAAACATAGTAAAGGACCTGGAGGATGGAATTTAAAAAAATAATAAAGTAAAATGGATATAAAGTGTTAGCAAGGATTAGAAAGCAATGATTGACCTGAGAATAATGAATTAGGAAAATATTGTACTGAATGCGATCTGCATAATGATTAGGGCACAGCTTGTTTTTCAGTGTAAAACACAGGATACTTACCTTCCTACCTTTGCTCTCAGAAATTGCTGTTTGTTAGAATAGAAAACACATCCATGCAGTTATAAGCTAAGGGAGAGATTCATGGTACAGAAGAGACGGGGATCAGTTGCTGAATCAAGGTCATGGAGAAGGGAAAGGGTAGAATAACAGGGAAAGAAAGGAGTTGGGTGATGATGCATAATTGCTATAGATAGATTATTCTGGAAACGGGGTTTGGCGTTTTGAACACTAGGACAGGCATTCATCATGGAGGGGAGAGCGTAAGCAGAGGTTAGGCGCAGGGTATTTTCATAGCGCTTATTAACAAGGGCAGAGGCAGAAAGGAAGCTTAGGGAGTTCTGGTTTGTGTTTCTACTACAAATCGCAAATATGCCATTGAGTTTTTCCTTCCAAAATGGTGTGTTGAATGCCACGACTTTTCATAATTGTTGGTTCCTTGTTTTCAAGTAACATTTGAAGATAAGAAGCGTGAGAATTTCGAACGCGGCAATCTGGAACTGGAAAAGCGAAGACAGGCTCTGTTGGAGCAACAGCGGAAAGAGCAGGAGCGCCTGGCACAGCTAGAGCGGGCGGAGCAGGAGCGGAAGGAGCGGGAGCGCCAGGAGCAGGAGCGCAGAAGACAGCTGGAGCTGGAGAAGCAGCTGGAAAAGCAGCGGGAGCTGGAGCGGCAGAGAGAGGAGGAGCGGAGGAAGGAGATCGAGAGGAGGGAGGTAAGCACGACGGGCCAGCGGGCAACGAGCAGGTGCTCTTGAACGCCCCCTCGTAGAATTACTCAAGTACTATGTTGATACAGTCTTTTTTTTTCTTTTTACAATTCAGTGGTTTCAGTATATTCACAAAGTTGAGAAATCACCACCACTGTGTAATTCCAAAACATTTTTGTCACCGCAGAAACTCTTTACCCATTAAGCCCTTACTCCCCTTTCCCATCTCCCCCCAGCCCTTAACCACCACTGATTAACTTTCTATACATATAGGTTTGCCTATTCTGGACATTTCGTATACGTGGAATCATACGATATGTGGCCTTTTTGTGTCTGGCTTTCACTTTAAAAAATATGTTTAGGAAATCTTCACCACATCCTGTGGAAGGGTTCATAGATTTGGTACCATGCCTCGGCAGGGGCCAAGCCAGTCTCTTGTCTGTCTTTACAATTTTAGTATATTGCTGCACAAAGCAATGCCATGATTCTCTTATGTGAATGAAATATATTTCAAAGATAGGGAATTTTTTTTTTTAAATTAAAACTTTCGTTTCAACTCCTGCTAATTGCTTTAGGAAACTTGTTGCCTTTTATTCAGGCAGACATGCACAGATACAGGAATTTAATTTCCAGAATGGGCAACCAAAAGATAGATAACTTTCCTTTCTTTCAATGTAAAAATACAGAGGAAAGAAGAAATTTTAGACTATTAAGAATTATTTAATAGGCATTTACTGTGTGCCAGGCCTTGATAGTCCTTGGAGACATAGAGATGAATGGGTACTCCATCTCTCCTCCAGGCCCTTACAGGTACATAAGAACTAATCATAGTAAAGAATGTCAGGTGCATTGACAGGTAGTCTGCCTAGCAGCGCGCAGTCAGCTTTGAAGAGCTAACATCGCCAGAGAAATTACAGAACCTTCTGTGGTAAAATGGAAATGAATGATTAGAGGGATGGAGGTTTCCCCACTCTCCAAAAGTAGCGTGTTCCTGTGAAATGGTGTAAAGTGAAGAAGCAATCACCATTAATTCGCATGGAAAAGGTTTCGAGTGTTTACTGACCCCTAAAATAACCTACCAAATCATACCAAGTATGCTTACTTATGTCCAGTTTTATGCTAAGTGTAACACCCTTAACAAGCTCTCTTAGGTTTTCTGATACATTAGCTTAGGACACATCTTGCTAAGGGCTGCACAAAACAGATGGAAGTAAAGCACAGACGCTCAAAGACACGGTTCACAGCTATGGCGGCTTGATGCTGAGATGCCGAATGTAGTTCCCAGGGAAGGGGCTTGGAGGGGCCACTCTCGCTTCTGTGGGTGCCACTACCTGTGTAAGGGCTTGCCACAAATCAAATGCTGAATGCTATTTTTGTTTTTTACCTTTTGTCATAAAAGCAAAAAGCCTCTTTGGATTTCTTTCAGTTAGTTAAAACAGGTACTTATGTAGGTCTTTCATAAAAGCGAAGTGGCATAACATGAACTTTTGAAAAGAGGGGATACATATCCTGTAGTAATTTCTCATTTGATGGAAGAAATGATAATTGCTCATTTGATGGAAGAAAATTTGTTTGTTTTTTTCTGTTTCGGTGGATTTCAGTTTGACTTTAATAAAGACATTTTCCTTGCTCCTTATGAGTCAATAAATGCGGAAGAACAATTTTATTTAGCGCATCAAGTGTTCTCGAATGCATAAGCAATTAAATTCTAATGGTCAGATGATCCTGTCTGTTTCCATCTTATGTAAACATGATAGTTTTTCGAAATATTCTTTTTCCCATAGAGGGAATACTGTATTTGTATAAATGTTGTTTTGCTATTTTGTAATAGAATTTCTTATAATGTTTAATAAAACGTCATCCCTGAAAGAAAAGAATTACTAGATGATATATTTTTTAAGCGACATAGTATAGTTTAAGAACTGAAAAATTCATCATCTGTGTGTGTCACAGGCCGCAAAACGAGAACTTGAAAGGCAACGACAACTCGAATGGGAACGAAATCGAAGACAAGAACTATTAAATCAGAGAAACAAAGAACAAGAGGACATAGTGGTACTGAAAGCAAAGAAAAAGACTTTGGAATTTGAATTAGAAGCTCTAGTGAGTGACGTTTGATTATGCTTTGGGAATATATTAACATCGAACAAATAAATGGTAATAAATTTTATTATTTTTCATTTGTTAAAGAATGATAAAAAGCATCAACTGGAAGGAAAACTTCAAGATATCAGATGTCGATTGACGACCCAGAGGCAAGAAATTGAGAGTACAAACAAATCCAGAGAGTTGAGAATTGCTGAAATCACCCATCTACAGCAGCAATTGCAGGTGAGAAAATATGTCCCTTAGAAGCTTAGCATCAAGCATCTACCGTGTGCTGGGGCTCTGGGAAGTGATGATGAAGTAGACCAGGTCCTTGCCTGAAAAGTAGGTTGTCAAGTAAACGAACTCAGTGTGTTGGCCCGTGTGCCGGGCCAGGTGCTTTTGTAGGCACTGATGATCCATCAGTGAAGAGCAAAGGAGACCCCTGCCCTCATGGAGCTTATCTTCTGTCCACGGGGCAGACTCACTAACAAAATAAGGCAAGTTATGTACCTGTCAGGTGATGAAAAGTGCTCTGGAGGGTGAGTAAGGAAGAGAGAGAGAGAGAGAGTGTCAGGTTAGGGAGGGCTCTGATTTTATTTTATTCTATTTTATTTTCTATGATATAATGAGCACTTTTATTCATTTATTTTTAATTAATTATTTGTTTGTTATGGTGACATTGGTTAACGAAATCCAGTCAGTTTCAGGTGTACAGTACAACAGTAAGGCATATATACGTTGCATTGTGCGTTCACTGCCCATAGTTAGATTTCTTTCTGTCACCACATATTTGACCCCTTTTACCTCATCGACCTCCCCCTCTCCCCGCTGGGGGAGGTTAATTTTAAGCAAGGCGGTAAGGACAAGCTTCTCTGTGAGAGTTCCGTTTGAGCAAAGTCTTGAAAGAGAGCTGAGCAGCTGAGCCATCTGGCTCTCTGGCAGAGTAAACTCTAGCAGTGCGAAAGTCCTGTGGCTGTAGCTGGTCTCTGGGATGCAGGTTACAGCAAGGAGACCTCTGTGGTTGGAGAAGGTGGGGCTGGATCATGTAGGACCTTAGTCCGTTCACGGGACTTTGGTGGTACCATGATAATGACAATAAAGAAGTACAGTTTAAGCGTTTTGGGGGAGTATGAGAGGTATATGTATAGGGAATAGTTGGGGACGTGATGGAGTACTATAAGCAGTTCTGCTTTTATTTTATTGCCTATGCAGAGTTGACCACTAAGTTGTCATAATATCTCATTTGGTTTCAGTGTTGTGCTGGGGGCAGAGCATCAAATTCACACCGATGTTGTTCTGCATGTCATCGTGAAAGATGATCATTTTTGAACTCTGTGACTTAGCTAGTTTTTTCAGCATGATGATTCTGAGGTTTATCCATATTGTTGAGTGAATCAGTACTTTGTTTTTTTTTTATCACTGAATAGTATTTCCTTATTTATTCGTTCACCTGTCGATTGATATTTGAGTTCTTCCCAGTTCTGGACTTTTATGAATACGACTGCAGGGATCATTTATTTACAAGTTTTTATGTGGAAATATGTTTTATTTCTCTTAGCATCTAACTTAGCTTTAAATTTTAGGAGTGGAATTTTTGTGTCATATAAGTGTATACTTAGCCCTATAAGAAACCATAAACTGTTGCCAGAGCAATTATACCGTTCTGCATTCTCACCAGCAGCGTGTGAGCGCTTCACGTGTTCCTCATCCTTGCCAACACTTGGTATTGTCATCATTTTTAGTTTTAACATTTCTAGGGAGTGTGTAAAAGTATCTTTCTTTAATTTGCCTTTCCCTGCAGAGTAATGATGTTGGGCATCACTTCATATGTGCATTGGCATGTATCTTCTCGTGTACGTCTTTTGTGAACAAATCTTTTGCCCCTTTTTATTGGATCGTTTATTATATGGAATTGTAAGTTTTTCATTCTTACAACAAATCTTTTGTCAGATATATGCCTTGCACATATTTTCTTCCAGTCTGTGGCTTGCCCCCACCGCCTCCCTTCCTTTTTTTTTCTAATGGTGTTTTTTAAAGGGCAGAAGTTTTAAATTTTGATAAAGGTCATCTTACTAATTTTTTTCTTTTATGGCTCATGGTTTTTGTGTTCCACCTAAAAAATCTTTGAGCATCCCAAGATTGCAGGTATTCTCTCTTATATTTTCTTCTGGGAGTTTTGTAGTTTTATTTACGTGTTTAGATTTATCATTCATTTAAAGGTGATTTTTATATAAGGTAAGGATTGAAGTTCGTTTTTTTTCCGTACCAATGTCCAGTTGTTTTAGCAACATTTATTGCAAACACCATCATTTTCCCCATTGAATTACCTTGGGAGCTTGTTGAAAGTCAATTGACTATGTTTGTAACTGTCTGGACTCTATTCTGTTCCATTGATCTATGTCTATCCTTTCACCAGTCCTCACTCTGTTGATAACCGTAGCTTCGTAATAATTTTTGAAATCAATTACTGTGAAGTCGTCAAATTTTTTTTTTTCAAATTATTTTGGCAATTTCAGGTCCTTTACATTGCCTCATAAGTTTTAGAATCAGTTTTTCAGTTTTTACAAAAATACTTAGAATTTTGTTTGGCATTTATTGAATTTATAGATCAATTTGGGAAGAATTAACATCGGGACAATACTGAATCTTATATTTCTCAATTTTATTTAGGTTTTTATATTATAAATTTCTCTCAACAGTGTTTTGTGGTTTCCAGTGTATAAGTCTTGTACATATTTTGTAAAGCTTAACCCTAAGTATTTCCTGGTTTTTGATGTTATTTCAATTTCCAATTTGATGCCAATATATAGAAATAGAATTTATTTTTATGTATTGACCTTATATTTACAATATTGCTTAACATATTTATTCTGATATCTTATTTTTAGCTTCCTTAGAATTTCTATGTACATAAACATTGTCTGTGAATAAAGAAAGCTTTATTTTTTTACTTTTCAATCTATATACTTTTTTTTTTTGGTCTTAACTTCATTGATCACAACCCCCGGCACTGGGTGAGTAGAAATGGTGAGAGTCTTGTTTTTGATCTTAGGGGTGAAGGATTCAGTCTTCACCGTTAAGTATGATCTTAATTGTAGGTTTTTTGAGAGATGCCCTTTACCAGGCTGAGGGACTGCCCTCTCGTTCCTTTATTACTGAGAGTTTTTGTCATGAACAGGTGTCACATTGGGTCATGTGGCTTTTTTTTTTCTGCGTCTATTGAGATGTTTTCTTCCCCCGCTCCCCCTTTTGTTAATATAACGATTTACTTTGGTTGAAATTTGAATGTTAAACGAACCTTCCATTCCTGGGATAAAGCACACTTGGTCATGGTGTATTACCATTTAAAAAAATATTTTACTAGATCCAATTTGCTATTATTGTTAAGGATGTTTTATTTAAATTTAGAGGGGTATTAGCTTATAGTTTTCTTGTAATGTCCTTGTCTAGTTTTGGTTTCAGGGTAATAAATTTGAAAAAAATTGGAGAACATTCTCTCTTTTCTACTTTCTAAAAACGTTTGTGTTGAAATGGTATTTCTTCTTCAAATTTTGGTGTCATTCACCTGGGCTTAGAACTTTCTGTGTGGTAGGACTTTTAATTGTAAAAATTATTCAGTAGATATAGGGCTGTTCAGATTTTGTTTATTCTTGAGTCTGCTTTAATAATTTGTACCTTTCTATGAGTTTATCCATTTTATCTAAGTTATCAAATTTATCTGTATAAAGTTGTTTACAATAGTCTCTTATTCTTCGGAAGTGTAGTATTTATAGTGGTGTTAAGAATTCATTCCTGGTATTAAGAATTGTGCCTCCTCTTTCCCCCTCCAAATCTTCCTCTCCCTTCTCCCATGCCTTCTCTTCCTCCTCTCTTTACTCCGCCAGTTTAGCTAGAACTTTATCGGTTTTATTGATTTTTTTTTTTTTTAAATAAGCTCTTGGTTTTATTGATTTTTTTGTTCTCTGTGATATGTCTTTTCTATTTCATTTATTGAGGCCCTTTATTATTTCTTTCTATCTACTTATTTTTGGTTTAATTTGCTTTTCCTTAGCTTCATAAAGAGGAAGCTTACATTATTGAATTTGGACCTTTATTAATTTCTGATGTAAACATTTTAAGCTATAAACTTTCTTCTAAGCACTGTCATAGCCATATATCACAAATTTTTAATATGCTGTGTTTTCGTATTAATTCAAATCTTTTTTGATTTCTTTTGCCATTTCTTCATTGATGAATTTAGAATTATGCTGTTTAGTTTCTAAATATTTAGATTTTTTCCCAGATATCTTACTGATTTCTAATTTATTTATATTATGATCTATGAGTGTACTCGGTATGGTTTCAATTCTTTTCAGTCCTTTTAAGTTTATTGGGACTTAATTTATGATTCAGTGTGTGATCTGTCTTGGTGAATATTTCATATGCTCTTGTAAAGAATGTATACTCTGTTGTAGTTGGGTAGAACGTCCCCTAAACATCAGTCAGCTCAAGTTAATTCATGGTGTTTGTGTCTTCTACGTCCCTACTGACTTCATTCAGCTGCTGAGAGACGAGTGTCAAAATCTCTAACAGTATAAATTTGCCTGTTTTCCTTTCAGTTCTGTCAACTGTTGTTTCATGTACTTTGAAGTCCTAATCAATTTGGAATGTTTGGATAAGACATATAATGTAAATAGTATCAGACGTTTAGTGCTAGAAATTGTTTGGAAATATTAAAAAATGCATGCGTCTTTTCTATATGGCAGCTCTCTCTGTATGTCTTTCATGAACTCTTTATGAGAAATTTCATAAAATATTCCCTTGGAAAATGTAGGAGTTAACAGCCATGTGCTTATTTATTATCTCACTGAATGTGCTGTGACTAAACATGTTTTTATTATTTAAAATTGACACTTAGCATGTTCCTGTATTGATAACCAAATACAAATTAGGGTTCCTGAAAAAAATGGTGAAGTAAAAAATAATACATGGTTTGAAGAAAATCAGGTACCTAGTAGGCAATGAGATTTGGTTCCCTTTCCTTACTGGAATTAGCAGATGTTTGCTATGCAAGTGAGTCAGGTAGCCATTCATATCGATTTGACTCATTTTAGAAACTTGGGTTGGCATTTAAAAGTAATGTTTAAAGTAAAACAATCTCGCTGATCTGAGTCAGCCTTCGTCTTGACACTTTATTGTTTGTCTTAGTTCAGGGAGGAAACTTTGGCGTTAGGTAAAAGGCCCTGCCTTAATTTGCTGAGGAGAGTAAGAGAAGCTCAGTTGTTTTCGGGGAAAACAATCTGATTTGTGTATTCTATTTTGTCCAGATTTTGGGCGTGTACAGGGATTATTCACATGAAAAGCTGCTTCCAAATCCTCTCTGTAGAGCTAAATTTTTCTACCATTCAGACACATCGTACACAAAGATTTATTACACACAGGCCAGTCTGAATCTAAAAATGGTGGTTTGAAAAAGGACTGATTCTTAGCCTCAGATGAAAAATTTTAATTAAGTCATTTTTATTTTTCAAACCAAAATCAGTACATACAGATCTTTTTTTAAAAAATCAAGAAAAATAAAAATCAAAGTCAAGTATTCCTTATTATATACTGCAAAGGCTGTCATTTTACTGAAATGTATAGAAACTGTATAGGATAATTCCACAGGTCACCCATGAAAACTCCAAATAAAATTGTACAGTGTGGTTTAGCTTTTTTCTTAGATCAGTTAAAAAATAGTTTGTTCAAGATTTTTTGTCTGCCTTTTGAAAATTGTAGCTCCATCTCGAGCGATGGAAAACACGTGGCAGCTAAGATTCTTGTTAAAAATCTCTTTGATTTGTGTTTCCAACTTCAGGTGTGTAGTAGATAAACCTTAGTTATTTACTGAGCCCTATCAAGTATCAAAGTTCAGAACAGAATAGTTTCTCTTAAACTCCTGAGTCAGTTTACAGACAACAGGGTCACTGCAATTGCATTTGATCCCAGTGCAATTGAGATCGTTGCTTTCAGTTTCTTCCACTGAGTACATTTTTTTTTAAGCTTCTAAATAGGCAGTAAGTCAACAAAAATTTAAGAAATATCAAGGGAGCTATAACTGTCTTAACTTTATTTCAGTGAAAAACGTTTGGCAAACAGTGAATTCATTGGCAAGAAAGGAGGAATCGCCCTGACTAGCGATTAAATGGCCGTTTCACCCGTAGAGGATTTGGGATGAGATTAGAAGAATCTTTGAGGAGCCAGAAAACTGACTTGTGACAGCTTGGACGTTGAATCTACACCTAGAAGTTTCCCCCACCCCATTCACTGTTGTTCCCCCGTCTCTCCTAGGAGTCTCAGCAAATGCTTGGAAGACTTATTCCAGAAAAGCAGATACTCAATGACCAATTAAAACAAGTTCAGCAGAACAGTTTGCACAGTAGGTGTTTTATTTTTTAAATTGTCCTTTTCCTTTTTTACTGAGAAGAAATTTTTTTAAGCGAAAAGGGAGCATCAAAAGCTATTTTTCCTCACTGCCAGCCTTTTTTTTTTTTTTTTTTTAACTATTACAATGTTTTTCTAAAATAGGAGATTCACTTCTTACACTCAAAAGAGCCTTAGAAGCAAAAGAACTAGCTCGACAGCAGCTACGAGACCAACTGGATGAAGTTGAGAAAGAAACTAGATCAAAACTACAGGAGATTGATATTTTCAACAATCAGCTGAAGGTAATTATTGTGTGTGCTCCTATGTGTATGTCCTACCCTTTAATTTTTCAAATCGATGATTAGTTGATATTTCATCCCAGGCAGAAAAATTTATTATGCTGTTTCATGAGCCTTCTTGAAAGCCTTCGCATTTATAGATGAACATTACATAATCTAAATTGCATTTTTCTCCTTTAGAATATAAAAATGAATTTAGCATCTATGAACTATGGCTGAGTGAGTGGCTCCACCATGACATCTATCTCTAACCTGAATTACATGTTTACACGTCTTCATCCCTTTGTTGGTAACTGCATCAAGTTGAATTCCAAAAGCGAGGCCCCAGAAGCTTTGTCTTTCTTATGTTCTTTGTTTTATGTCCCTACTAAAAAGAGATTGCTTTCACTTTTAAAATTAAGAATTTTTCTGCCACTTCTTGCCTTCAAGATTGTGCTTGAATGTAGATCTTTATTGTGTTGCTTCAATTTTAAACTTTTTATTATTTAATGGAGTAATTGCTTTTGTCTCTGGCAGAAGTAGTATATGGTTTTGTCACATTACACAGTAAAATTCAAGAAAATGCCAAAACTCTTCGGGAATGTAAAGGTGGTTATCACAGCCTTCTTCTGATTTGATGCTTTCAGTTTAATCTTACAACTTTATCATCGTAGGAATGTTAATGCTTACCTTATAATAATACCACAATGCAAGCAGTTCATTTTCTATCAGCAGCGATCATGTACTTCAGATTTAAGTAGATATTGGTGTTTTTATCAATTACGTTCTTAAATTGGACATTACACATTTTTCGAATATTCATTTTCCTTTTCTAACTTAAACCTTTAAGTTAATTTAGCTTTTCTAACTAGGAAAAAAGTAAAGCTATTCCTTATTACTAAAAATAGAAAGAAATTAGAAAGCATATTTGAGATTTTTAGTTGAACTTTGAATTGAGATTCTAGGCCAAACTGTCTAGACATCCGAGTTTGAGGTATTTGTGCCGTTTCCCTCCATCTTCCACCCCTAGTAGGTAATGAACTTTCTCAGTTGTACAATTCCAGGAAAGTGCTCTTAGGGGAAATATGGTTAGAGTCAACTTAGTATTTTCTTTCACTTTGCTTTCACGCTTAACATAGAATGTGTGTGTGTGTGTGCTATACATATATGTTCTGTATTTGTACGTATATGATTACATGTGATACGTAAATATGGGAAGTACAGATGTAAGTTCTCTGTCTCCTGAATAAGAACAGTTGAAATGACAACATTGACTCTCATTGTAACTTGCTACTGTTTCAAGCAAAAAGAACATAATACCATTTGCAGGCTCACAGTGCTTTTTAATAGTCTCTCGGAATATAAACTGTTAAGTATTCAGATATCTTCTGAACCCAAGCAATAGTCCAGATTTCTGTCTTAAGATTCCTTTTTAATTTACAACAAGGAGAGGGAAAGATTTTTTTTTTTTAAGTTTTCCTTTTCTAGAAATTTGACTCAAAACAAAGTTCACATATTAGAAAATGATACTCTAGTGAATGAGTTTTTACAAATGCCTAGATGATTTATGGATGATTTTTGGCTCTCAAATTGCTGTTGCCATTGCTAGAGAGAACACCCTTGAAATAGGGTGAGATTCACTCTTGTGTTTGATTGGCTAATGCTGCCTTCAGTATTAGAGAGTTGCTTATACAAAGGCTAATTTTAGCCCTTTATCCCAGTAGGCCTCTTTTTCCAAATATACTAATTTTTAATTAAGAACATTTCTTTCTGTCTTAATTTTTATTTTGGTTTCCTATTATTACTTTATGTTGATGTGAAGAGTAAAAAAAAAAATTCACAAGCCATTACAGCTATGTTGTTTTGTTATTTAAGGACCTATTTGGAGGGCTTAGTGTTATATTGCCTTAAAGTTATTAACTTCTAGTATTCCTCTAAAATCTGGTGAAACCAAAACAGAAATAGTTCAATTGAAAAATCAAAAGATTTATAATTCGATTGAGACCACTCAGAGGCAAATTTAAAATTTGGTCTCTGTCTCCTGCCTACTGTTCTTCGTTTTAGCCACATTGGAAAACACGAAGCATTTTGTTTCTGACTCGAGAGCATGTGTTCATTAACAGCTGTGATCTCTTATAGGATGAGGTGGGCCAGGAGAGCGAGCATTCTGGCTGTTAGGCTTGCTTCCACGCCTCTCTTGCTGCAGCCGTGCCTCAACAGCACTAACGATGCCAAAACTACTTCTGCCTAGAGGCTGGGAGTGAAACACTGGCGGTCGTCGGGTCATTCTACACATCTAAGTTGATGGTGTGGATTTGCTGTCTCCTAAACCTTCCTCTCCAAAAAGGAAACCTGCTGGAGAGTACAGAAAAGGAGTTAGGACTTAGCAGTTTTCTTTTATATCCACGTAGATGGTTCATCTAGAAAAAGAAAGTGTGAGTCACTCATTACTGGCTTGTGACACTGGAGAAATAACATTATGGAGTGAAAAAAATTTGAATTAGTTGACCAGAACATTGAACCTATGTTCAGTGGCCGCTCCATATATGACAATTACCTTTAGCAAAAACCAATTTTCACGTTTCTTTGATACAAAACTATTTGCAATAAGCCATTTACTTATTTTGAAGCACAAAGTCATATCCAGTACATTCTGTAATATTTTTTCTCCTTAAAAAAAGCATACAATCTGAGTTAGTCCTTTCTACCAGATGCCTTGTTCAGATTCATTCTTCTTTTGAGGGTCTCCCTTTTCCTCCAGTTCAGGAAGAATTACACTCCTGCCTCCTCACCCAAGTTCTGATAACCAATGATGGAAATTCTCAAGTCATTAATTAAAGAGGAAAAAAAAATTAGTTTTACAGTCAGGTTAATAGATGTTTGTTTCATACATGTGGCAACATATTGAAAATATAAAGCATATTTAGAGTTATGGTCGGTGATTGTTAAGCGGCTCCAGGTCCAGGCCCGTGGAACATAAGATCTCTAGAGTCTCGGACCTTTATGTTTCTGTCTAATCTCAGAGAAATGAAGACTCATTCTTACCTTTCAGAAAAGGCTATTTGTCATGCATTTTAATAAACATTTACTTTATCGGTGTGATATTTTTATATTCCAGAATGATCCCAAGACACGTATCGTTGTTTTTCAAATTTATCACCCCAAACCAAGAATGACTTGAGAAAGGAAACAGGAATCTCACTGTAGCAAATAAACCTTGCTTTTTGTACGTCTGTAGAAAAGGAAAGAGCGGGAGAAGGGGAGAAGCGATGGCACACTGAGGAACTGAGGCTCTGATGCCCAAATCTCCTTGATGGCAGCCTCTATACTTATGCCGCCTCTTATGTAAACAGGAGATTTCAGCTTTCTGATTATCAAATAAAAGTGTTCAACCAGTGAATTAACCAGAAAGAACTGATTTTGTCAGTAATTATTGCTAGCATCAATGAATACTTCTTAAAGTAGTTTTAGTTCAGTGGATCAAATTTGTTCACCATAATTTTCTGCTTTTAAAATGTCCTCTATATGCAGCAAATCTATTATCATGCTAAGGAGTCAATAGCCTTCTCATATTCATATTCTAGAAACATCAATTTGAAGTTATTATATATGACTTTCTATTTTTACCTCATTTTATAGGAAAGTGAAAACTTTCAACGTTTTTTGGAGAATCTGTGTGTCTAAAGAACACAGTCATTCTGCTAATTGTTTTTCTTACATACAGTGCTTAGTTATGGGCATAAAATTACAGTTCCAACAGGTATGAAATAACATTACCAATAGAGACTTTTGGACGGTAGCACTTGACTTCACCTGGCCCATGGCAATGTTAGTCGTTTCTATAAATCTTCCTTGGCACCAATAGCTTAATGTTCTGTATTTTAATGTCTTACCTACATAGAGCAGCATTGTAAAGTATAGCTTCTCGTTTTCAAGGCTCCATTGAAATGGATACCAAGTAAAGAGAATCTGTTACATAAAGAGACTAGGTGTTGTGTTTCATGTCGAAAAGTTGAGTTCTTATCCGTTCCCATCTAGTTGGTGTGTGCTGGACAAGTCCTAATGTGAATAGCGTTCTACATGTGAGCATTTCTTTCTTCCAGTCAGTGGCAATGGAGGGGGCAGTGTCGCAGTGCCTGGCAGTTTTCCTGGGCTGCGTCATCCACTTAGACTTCTTTCTAAAGGTCTCCATGCCCTACTCAGGCAACGCGCATCTTTCTCAGGCTGAGAATGATGAACCACCTCCAGCTCTGTGCTTCAGTTTCCCCCCGTGCAGATGAGTGCTCAGTGTCTAAGATAGCCTTTACCGTGACATGCTAAGTCTTCTTTGTAAAAGCTGATAGTGATCAGTTACTGTTAATTGTGCTGTATGAGTGCATCTTTCCTCTTGACAAAGTGTGTGTGTGATGGTGGAAGCTCCTAATTACAGTCTGGATAAGGTACTGTATACCGTAGTCCTCTCTTTATAACAAGCATCATAGATTCTTGAATTTGCCACTTGGCTTCAAAAATTTGAAACAGAACACTCAGTGATTATTTGTTTATATGCATATTTCCATCATATGGGAAGCAGTATTATAGTCAGTATACTATTGCAAAAGTGGACAGTATTAGCAAAATATGAGTAGGACTAATTCAGAATTCATAATTATATTCTTTAATATACTTGGGAAATCCAGGCTTCCTAAATTAGACACAAGAGGCCATTGGAAATATAAATTCTGCCTGTAATGATACCTGTCTTAAAAATTGCTCCTAGGAACTGAATTGTTGAAATGAAAATGCTAGTTATAGTGAATAAGGTTCTCGGCTTAACTGAGGCTTTTATGCTCTTGGTTTCAGACACTTGCTTTCATGGCAGGCTCATTCATTATGAAGGCAGTGAAAGGCAAAATGTTTAGCAACCAGGGGAAAAAAGAAAAGAGCTGGAGAAGGAACTGCAGAACAGAATGAGAAGTCAGGAAAAAAATGCATGCGAAGGGAAACAAAGAAAGAAAAAGATCCAGAAAGAGGAGATGCAGAGA